TCCTGGTTCCTAAACTCTGTCCCATGCATTCAAGGCTGCCATTCAACATAGAATTAGGGTTTGGATATCATATAAACATTGTGTTTGTATTGCAGCATATTGGCCTTCTCCAACAAGCTGATCCTGGGAGATTTGTATACCTTTAGCCCTCCATTGATTTTTCTGTTTTTGGCTTCCTCTTTGAACCACATTTGCCACTGCAGCTGTGCCCCAGTTTCCAGAACAGCATTTAACAGCTCTCGCCAGTCTTGTGGTATAATCTTATTATAAGTTGACCACAAGTTTAACATTTGCTTTACAAATGGGAAATGTGTGCCATAAGATACTATTGCCTCCTTAAACCTTTGTAAATCTAACATTTCAATTGGAGTCCAAATATTTTGTACATTCAATTGACCAGGTAGCTGCTGTATGGTTACCAGATAAATTGAGGGTGATTGTGTGAAAACAGGCTTTCTTTCTGTAACCTTATAATCGAATCCTGAAACAATTTCACAGTTAATTTCTTCTGTCTGAATCTAAATTTCTCTGTAATTCATTTTAACAGGTTTAATAGGTTTTTCTAAAACTTCTATCCTGGCACTTAAATTGACTATCTTTTAAAATAATAAAATAAGGATAAGGAAAGTAATAATGTGCATAATCCCATCAACATTAATATTCTCACATAGTTGTTCCATTTTCAGACTGCCCAAAATTTTATCAAAGTCCAATTTTCTTCTAATGTACACATAAAACCCATTTTTTTTAAATGTGGAAAAAATTTTTCTCTTTTAAATAGTTTTTTCCTTTAAAATATCTAATATCTTAATTGACTTACCAAGTCTGTGTAGAACAGTAGAAATCTGAGGGAATTTCAAAACAGCTACCTAGTGTCCGAGGTGGGAATCCAAAAAGAGAGAGACAGAGACAGAGACAGAGACAGAGAGACAGAGAGAGGCAGAGAGAGAGAGTTAGAGAGAGAAAGGAAAGAAAGACAGCATAGACACATACATGTTCTGGCTTGACCTGAGTTGAGCCTGGGCTCTGGCTTCCTTAAGCTCCCGCCACGTGAGTTGGCATTTTGGCCGCAAGCAGCTCTATCTGTAGATGCGCTTAGCTGCTGCAATTAACAGCAGCTCTGGCAGGCCTGAGTTGTTTGTGGTGCCAACTTTTTTTTAAGCCTGAGCTGCTTGAGTTGTCAATCTAGCTGCAAGTAGCTCCAGCTGTGGGTAACACAGCTTGTAGTTATGGTTGGTTGGGCCTGGAGCCTAGGCCGAGCTGGCCCAAGCTGGGGAGCCAGGGAGCCAGTGTGCTGCCAAGCTGCCAAGCTGAGCCAAGTGTTTTTTAATGAATTCTTGCCATGTTGGGTGCCAAATTAAATAAGAAACACAGAGCCAAATGCAGAGTTAAAAGCCCAAGAGGTCAGAGCAGTAGCTAAGTGCTGATACTAAAAAACCTTTCTTACCCTTTGCTGCTGCTGTCGTCCTTCCCCTCTGAAAGAGACCTACTTCCTGAGTATCTTTTTATTGACTTTCTGTTCTTCCTTCTCATTGGTTGTAAACCCAACCACATGACCTCCTCATCACTGCCTGTCTATATAGACCTCCAGGTCTTCTATGGTTGGTATTGAGATTAAAGGCTGTATCCTTGAACACACAGAGATCTGCCTGTCATGTGATAGGGATTAAAGGTGTACACCATCACCACCCGGCTTCTGCTATGGCTTGCTATTAGCTCTGACCCCCAGGCAACTTTATTAACATACAAGTAAAATCACATTTCAGTACAAATAAAATATCACCATACTACTCAATCGCAAAGACACACAAACACAAATACACACATACACACAAATGAATGCACAAACATAAAGACACACACAAACACAAATAGACACACATCATATAAACCACACACAACACATACACATACACACAGATACACACATCACATAAGCACACACACATACACACACACACACACACACACACACACACACACACACACATATACCCACAAAGAAACTTTCAGAAACAATATTAGTATTTAAATAACACTTAGGATATGTGTGTTGAATAAATTTATACAGGACTGGATTTTTTTCTTCAATTTGTTAATTTTTATTTGTATGCCATAACAACATGGTCTGAAAAGTTCTGACCTCATAGAACTAGTCTTTTCTGGTAGTCATAAAATAAATATTTGTAAGTATGATACTTGGAATACTGTGACTACTATTAGGAGAGGATGCATAAAATATTTTTGCAATTAATATTAGTAGTTTTGAAGAATCATTTTAATCTTTGTCAGTACCATAAAAGGTTGTGACTGTTGGAGACACTGAAATTTTAAAGAATCTTTAGGCTTATGTAATAGAGGACTTTAATATTTTGATGTAATAAAAGTAGACCTTGTTTGATTCAGTTTGTTTTTTTTAAACATTCTTTATATGTAGTTTTGGCTGTCCTGGAAATTGCATGTAGACCAGGCTTGTTGTCCCAGTCCCACCACTGGGAGCCTTATGTGATTATACAAGATGGCTAGTTCATCCTCCATATTCTTAATTAGTAGCAGTCCTCACTGGGGCCACCCTTATAGGTTCCAGGAAGTTTGCACTGCATTGTTTCCACATGTCCTGCTAAAAGCTTCCCTACTCCAGTCAGCTCTCCCTGTCTTTTCTCCTTCTCTCCCTTCCTTACTCAGCTGACACTTTTTGTTCCCATCCCCACCTGCCTCCAGTGCACCCACAGTTCTATTTTCTCTTCCCAGAGAGATCTGTGCATCTACCCTAGAGCTATTCTTGTTATTTAGACTCTCTGCATCTATGGATTATTCTCTGATTAACTGTGATTGAACTTTACTTAACTACTAATATCCACTTATAAGTGAGTGCATACATATCATGTTTGTCTATATGCTTCTGGGCTGCCTCACTCAGGATAATAAAGAACTCAAGAAACTAGGCAACAACAAACCAAATAATTCAATTGTAGTGGTGTACACCCCTAGACAGAATTGTCAGTAGAGGAATCTAAAGTAGCCAAGAAACACTTGAAATTTCCAAGATCTGTAGCCATCTGGGAAATTCAAATGAAGACTACTTTGAGGTTTCATCTGACACCTGTCAGAATGGTTAAGATCAATAACACAAGTGACAGCTAATGCTGGTAAGAACATGGAGCTAGGGGATTTATTGCTGTCACAACTGCAAACTTGTACAGCCACTGTGGAAGTCAATATGCAAACCTCAGAAAATTAGGAGTCAATCTACCTCAAGACCCAGCTATACCACTCTTGGGTTTATACCCAAAAGATGCTCCTCCATCCTACCACAAAGAAACTTGCTCAACTATGTTCATAGTAACTTTATTCGTAATAGCCAGGAATTGTTATGTCTGTGAGAGATTGTGTTGATTGATGATTGATGTGGAGGCTCACCACGTAGAGTGTCAATATCCCTAAGAAAGCAGGCCTGGGCTAGGAAAGGGAGCTATTTAAACATGAGACGATGACTAGGCAAGAGAGAAAGCTAGGAAACAATCTTGCCCATGGATTTTGCCTTTATTTTTTAGCTTGAGTGTGTTCTGACACAATCAGCCAAATAAACAAATTCATCACCTGAGATGTTTTTAATTAGAGGATTTAATCACAGCAGGATAAAAGCAAGTTAGAACAAAAAATATGGAACAATAAAATTATTTTGTTGCTAGGAAGAACCTGGGAATGTTGTCTTTTGGAAGAATGTGAAAGATATCAAAATTTTAGGTGGCCAAAACCATAGAAAGTTGTACATAGAACTTAGTTGGCTGTTTTTTAGGACCAGCAAGATTGGACTGTTAAGAGTAATGGCAGAGAGTGGAGATTAAGATCATAGATTTCAGTTGGAAATAGGTAGACTCCATAAAAAAATTAAACTAAACATTATTTGTATCATATTTTTGCTCCAAAATCTTTTTTATTCTGTCCATACCATGGAAATTCAGTAAGGTGGAATTAAAAAATTATGAGCTAATTCCTTAAGTGGAATATTGATTCTGTTGGATGTTTATTACTGATGACTTATTTAGGTCTACCATGAAAAGAAAACAAGTGGGGCAGAAATAAATGAAAATAAAAAAGTAGTTTCAGATGGCAGTTAAGTGCTGAAACAGACAAGAATTTTGAAAGTTTATCACTATTATAGAAAAAGCCCTTGGTATGGAATGGAAGCCTAGCAAGGTGCTCTAAGGGTATAAGTCCATCCAGCTAAATCTTCAGTTTATGGAAGGAGTAAGCAAAGTGATTTCTAGTCCCAGGAAGCAAGCTCATATAAAACTTGCTACACCTGTGGTCCAAATGTGTTAGTGTCCATCCCAATTAAGAAATCAAACTTTGGGTTGGGTGGTGGTGGCACACGCCTTTAATCCCAGCACTCAGGAGGCAGAGGCAGGCAGATCTCTGTGAGTTCAAGGCCAGCCTGGTCTACAGAGTGAGTTCCAGGACAGGCTCCAAAGCTACATAGAGAAACGTTGTCTCAGAAAAAAAAAAAAAAACTACAAGAAATCAAACTTTGCAGGATCACCCATCATGTGCTGTTCCTGGAAACACGAAAGAATCCAAATTTAAGATCATGAATTCTTAGGCTGTGGTTACAGTTCAGCATTGTTGCTGGGATCTATGTTTGGCAGTCAGAAACCCAGGAAGGACACTGTGAGAATTCACTGCATGAAGCTGTGAAGATTGAAGCCTCTTCTTCTTCTTCTTCTTCTTCTTCTTCTTCTTCTTCTTCTTCTTCTTCTTCTTCTTTTTCTTTTTCTTTTTTTTTTTTTTTTTTTTTGTTGTTGTTGTTTTTTACTCTATTCTTTTGGGAGCCTGCCACCCAGCTCTGAAGTAAATCACACACATGGAGGCTTATACTTTCTTATAAATGCCTGGTTGTAAGTTGTTTCTAGGCAGTTTTTTTTTTTTAGTTTAATTTTTCCCTGATAATTCAGAATTAACTTTATTATTTGTACAACTACAATAGGCAATCCGAGAAAGAAATTGCCCACTTTATATTACCCACATTCAATATCTTACTAGGTTTAGGCTGCTCTTCTTAACTTAAGTTATCTCATCTACCTTTTGCCTCTGGGCTTTTATCTTCCTCTATTCTGTATACCTTTCTTTATTTCTTGCTCTGTGGCTTTCTGTGTAGCTGGGTGGCTAGCCCCTGGTGTCCTCTTTTTTTCTTACTCCTTATTTTTTCCTCACAGATTTCTCCTCCCATTTATTGTCTCTGCCTACTAGCACCACTTGTCCTTTCCTGACAAATTATTGGCTGTTGGGCTCTTTATTATACCAATCAATTATTTTGGACAGGCTTTAGAAGTATCACAATGTCACAGAGTTAAACAAATGTAACATAAAAGAATGCAACATATCTTTGCATCATTAAAACAAAAGTTCCCAGCATAAACAAATATAGCACATCTTAAAATCATTTTCCACAACAATCTGGGTTGTGTTTTGAGACCACAAGATGTTGAGATACCTAAGCTATGAGATGTCTTCTATGGAGACCTAGCTGTATATAGGGAGTTGAAGTAACCAAAGAGAGATGTATGAGAAGTTGCATGTATAAGGCCAGCTAAGCCCTTTGAAACTGACACCCTATGTATCTGAGACAGAGATACAGGATTTAATGTTTGTCATGTTGTGCTTCAGTCTTGTCTTGGTCCAGTCTTCACTCGATATATCTCCATTTCTCTCTTTTGGAATATGAATGGTATTCTGTACTATTGTATATTAGAAAAATTTAACTTGATTTCTGATTTTATAACATGTTACTGTCAAGATATTGTCTTGAGTATCAGAAGAGACGATATTTGAACAAGGTAAGGGATGTTGCAAACTATGAGTATCATTGTAGCAACTAAATGCATTTTCTTCTTGGATGATCATGAGCCTAAAGTGACCTGGGTCAGAATAGAGTTGATTTAAAACCTCCCAGGTAGGATGATATATTTGAAATATGTCTCTCTTTGGTGACTTTCTTTCAGTTGTTTGTAAAGCCTTTACTAGGAGGAGCCTTTCTGGATGAAATTCCTCATTGGGAATATGATATGAATCTCTATAGCCTCAACCCCTTTTCTGTTCTTTGTGTCTACTATGTTGTGGTTGAAACTAAGCCAGTTTCCTTTCTGTACTGTCAAGCCTTCAGCACCATTATAGACTCTATCTGTAAATCACATAAGATACAGCAGAAGCAATTGTCATTCAGTGCTTAGGCAGTTGGGTAGCCTGCTGTTTTAATTATTTTGCTTGTTTGTTTTTGAAAACAAGGTTTGTCTGTGTAGCCCTGGGTGTCCTGAAAGTATACTTCTGTACACTAGGCTGACTTTGAACTCAGAGATCCCCTTTACTCTGGCTCCCAAGTCATGGGATTAATGGTGGGCCAACATTCCTAGCTTTATTTGTTTTTATATTATTGGATGATGGGCCTGGAATGTAGGTTTTGGTACATGTCAAGCATAGGCTGTTGTGCTGAGCTTCACCCATATTGTGAATTTTAAAATTTGGCAGAGGGTATCATTCTGTTTTTCTGGATAGCATGTATTCATGACATTAATAGTGCCTGAGCCTACTGAGGCATTGGATTGCAGGGGCATGACCTTCTTCCTGCCTGTTGTATTTGTTTTGAATATTTAAATAAATATGAGTATTTTACCTCTATGCATCGATATACACCATGTGGGTACCTGGTCATCACAGTGATCAAAAGATGATCACAGAAATTCTGAACTTGGAGTAATGAATTGTTGTGATCCTCCATGTAAGTACTGGCAATTGAGCCCACCTATATGCAAAACCAGTAAGAGCTCTGTACTACTGAGCAATCTCTCCTGCCCTGTGTTGATTATTTATGATCAACATTTATATTGCTAAGGTTTTTATCTGTTCGTTTGTAACTGTTTAAACCCACAGTGCCTTTTGGTAAATTTTGATGTTACAGTTTAAATTGGGGTACTTCAGGTTTCTGGAAGATGAATACAGAACTAGTGTGACTGCCTAACACTTTGTAGGAACTTCAGTTAAAACATCCAAGTTCTTTCTAACTTTTTTATTTGTTTGATTGACTTTTGCATGGGAGACGGGGTCTTAATATGTACTTCTAGCTGTCATAGACATGAATGCATAGAGTAGGCTGTAATTCAACTCGGGGTATCTGCCTCTGCCTTCTGAGTGTTGGGGTTAAAGGCATGAGCCAATACATCCAGTTTGTCCATTTTATTTTTCTTTTTTGTAGTAATTGTACATAAATTTCTCTCATGTATACTCTGCACTATTGATCGGTTTACTTGTCTCTCTATGTTTGATAATAGGCATTTCTCTTGTAAGATGATATCCTATTCAAAGGGTACAGAAATGACAGAAGTGAACCTACTATTCAGTTTTCTTCTAAAATGATTAGGTGATTACATTATAATGGCAATGCCATGAATTAAGTGTGGGGAGCATCAGAATTATATGATTATATTGTCAAATAATACATTAACAATGGTAGTATCATGCTCTCTTTTGTACACATGTATGGAATATTTTAGAGTGCAGTGACCTATGATGATGTACATGTTGACTTCACTTGGGAAGAGTGGAATTTGCTGGATCCTTCCCAGAAGAATCTCTACAAATATGTGATGCTGGAGACCTACAGGAATCTCATTACTATAGGTAACACTGAATTTTCTCTATGTTTTAAAATAAGGTGACAACTGTTTCTTGGTTTATTGATACCCTTCTATAATTTCATTGAGAAAGAACAAGAATGAGATGAAAAAAATCAGGCATGTTTCTAAGGTTCACTGAAGATTTTAACTAAAATTTTGCACAGTTCTCAATAATATAACCTATTTTTATTATAATATATTTTAGGATACAGTTGGAAAGACCATAATATTGAAGAACATTGTCAAAGTTCTAGAAGACATGAAAGGTAATTTTCATCTGCAAGATGATACAAATGTGCCTCTGAAGAAATTATAATGTGTCCTGGAAGTTTTAAAACAGAAGCAACAGTATAAATAAGCATAGCTTAAAATGCATAATAATTATTAAATTCTCACAAAACCATATACCTCAATTTCAGGTAGGTGAATTTCATTTGCAAGGCATTCTTTTAAGAAAGAAGTCAAGGAAGCAATGCCTAAAAAGATATCACCATTTGAATCATAGCACTATGAGAGCTATGCTATAAAACTATCAATCAATTTATTTCATATCATTCATGTTACAAAAGGTATGCACAGTGAAGAGGTGATAAGTATATCTTCAAAGCTGTCTAATAAGCAAATAGTCCATAGTAAAGAAGTCTAACTAATATACTTGTGAATGTGCTGTTTAGTGAGAGGGGCAGTTAGAGTCAAGAGTCAAGTAAAAAAATAATTTTAATTCTTATACCACAAGTCTATGAGTACAAAAAGTTAGACTGCGTGAATTGAATGTGGAAAACTTTTATTGGTTATTCTTCCTTTACTATGTATGTCATATGTCACTCTGAATACAAGTCATATGTGCATAGGGCTATGGAAAGACATAACATACCTCTCTCTCAGAACAATTAGAAGATATGTAGCAATCCTGACATTGTGTATACTTGTTTAATTCGATTCAAATATACAAATAATTGGTTTTCCAGGTTCATTGTTAATGCATAAAGAAACTTACAGTGCAGGAAAGTCCTATCAGTATTAGGACTGTGTAAAAACTTCTGTTTGTCCTAGTTCATTTAGCAAATGTAGTCTGATTTACAGTATAGGAAAATTTATTAATGCAATAAACGTGCTAAAACTCTGACTTTTTCCAGTTCTCTTCAAATATGTGAATAATCTCATATAGAAAAAAGATACTGTAAATGTGAACCATGTAATAAAGGATCTTACCATCACAGGTATTTTCCAAGATGCAAAACAACTCTTAAAGAAAAGGAGTAACATGAGTGTGAACACAATGATAAAACCTTAAGATCTAATTCCTCTTTATAATTGGACCAAATTGTAAAATTAACTCATACAGATATAAAGATTAAACAGAATATTGTATGATGTAATGCTTTTACATGTGCCATTATTTTTGCAGGAAAGAAAGAAGTCAAACTGGAGAGAAACCTTCAATATATACTCAATGTGTTAAAGCCTTTGCACATCTTAGTACTCTTCAATTGCATGAAAAAACACACACTAAAGTGAAGCCCTATGAATGCAATCAGTGTGGTAAAGCCTTTGCATGCATCAGTAATCTTCAAATGCATCAAAGAACACATATTGGAGAGAAACCCTATGAATGTAATCAGTGTGGTAAGGCCTTTGCACAACACAGTACTCTTAAAATGCATAAAAGAACGCATACTGGAGAGAAACCCTATGAATGTAATCAGTGTGATAAAGCCTTTGCACAACTCAGTCATCTTCAAATGCATCAAAGGACACATACTGGAGAGAAACCCTATGAATGTAATCAGTGTGGTAAAGCCTTTGCATATGTCAGTAATCTTCAAATGCATCAAAGAACACATACTGGAGAGAAACCCTATGAATGTACTCAGTGTGATAAAGCCTTTGCACAACACAGTCATCTTCAAATG